CCCAGCATCGACATGGTGGCTAACAACCATCTGTAACTCCAGTTCCAGGGAATCTGATGCTCTTCTCTGACCTCCTCAGTCATTGCATGACACAGGTATACCTACCTACATGTAGGCAATACACTTATACACATAAAATAAAAATAGTAAGTAAAATATTTTTTTTTTTTGTCTTTTTGAGACAGGGTCTCCCTGTAGCTCCCCAGCTGGCCTAGAACTCACTATGTAGATCAGGCTGGCCTTGAACTCACAGAGATCTGCCTGCCTCTGCCTCCTGAGTGCTGGGATTAAAGGCATGGGCCACCATGCTCGGCTGTAAAAATTTTTAAATATTTTATTTATTATTTTTTAATTTTATCTGTATGCGTGTATTGCCTGCATGTAGGTAAGTGCATCTGTGTCGTGCAATGCCCATGAAGGACAGAAGAGGCTGTTGGATCCCCTGGAACTGGAGTTATGGACAGTTGTTAGCTGCCATGTGGGTGCTGGGATTTGAACCAGCCCCGTAAATTTTTTTTTTTTTTTTTTTAAGCGGGGCATGGTGGCACACACCTTTAATCCCAGCACTTGGGAGGCAGAAGCAGGCAGATCTTCATGTGTTTGAGGCCAGCCAGGTCTACATAGTGAGTTCCAGGACAGCTGGGGCTACAAGGAGACCCTGTCTCAAAAAGAAAAAAAAAAAATTTTTTTTTTTTTTTTTAAAAAGAAAGTGAATCCTAACCTAAGAAAAGTTGTTAGATGTGGTTGTTGTCTAAGACATGGTCAGGACCTTTTGCTAGAGAGAAGAAGCTGTCTCTGGGCACACAGATCACTCAAAACTTATGGTAGTTATGAATCCGGTCCATGAAGGCTGAAGTAGCCATACCATACCTTCTTAAATATTGTTATAGCCTGGATTTTTCTTATCTTCTAGTGCTAGGGATAGAGTCCAGGGCCTCATACAGGCCAGGCAAGAAACTCTACTACTAAGCCATATTCCCAAGCCCAGAAATTATAGCCTGGTCTTAGCTGTGCTACAGGGAGACTCTGATGAAAAGGATCTATATTAGTTATGTTCTGGTTAAGAAAAGGCAACACTATTTCTTGCCAAAACCCAAGGCAATGGTAAAAGCTGTAATGGCTGGAGAAGAGAGAAAAGAGA